TGAGCACTCATTGTGTGCTACAGGCATTGTGCAAATTCCTTGCCTTATTTAATTTTCACCACATCCCTTTGGGGTGGCCATTGTTACTCCATTTCACTGATGAAATTCTGAGAAGTTAAGTAATTTGTCCCAGGTCATATAGCTTGGAAATGGCAAATCTGGAACTCAAACCCAGGTCTCTAACATCAACTTTATGGCTGTGTATCCAAGTGCCCATAATCCCTATTTTACTTATTACTGGTGTAAGCATACTATAAATCTTACAATACCATATAGTCTTTTCTATCTCAGCCTTTCTAGTTTGGTATGTAATCAAAGACCTAGTGATAACTGTGATATAAGTGAAGTGGTTACTTTCAACTTCTGAGAAGATCATATCACTAATTATTTGATAACACAATTTGAATATCCCTTATCTGAAATGCTTGGGAACAAAAGTGTTTGGATTTCGGATTTTTTTGGATTTTGGATTATTCGCATATATATAATGAGGTATTATAGGGATGGGACCCAAGTCCAAACACAAAATTCATTTATGTTTCATATGCAAATAGCCTGAAGGTAATTTTATACAATATTTTTAATTGTTTTGTGTACGAAACAAAGTTTTGACTACAACCTGTCACATGAGGTCAGGTACGGAATTTTCCACTTGTGGTGTCATGTTAGTACTTAAAAAGTTTTGGATTTTGGAGCATTTCTGATTTCAGATTTTCAGACTAGGCATGCTTAACATATTCTAGTTCCTTAAGTAGAAGTATGCCAAGTTCCCTTTAGATTCAATACATAGTTGTATTGAGTTGTGATTATGTTCCTTTGTTTAAGACTGCTATACTGTGGTGTGCTTTTAATGCTGGTTTATCAACTTATAGCATGGTATGGTGTCTTCTCATGCATTGTTCTCAGTCTGGAATTCCTTTATTTTTTTCCGTTTTCACCTCCTTGTTTGGCAAATTTCTCACTTTAAGAGCTTAGTTCAGGCATCACCTGTTTTAGAAATCTCCCTGACATTCTCCCCTATCTCTGGGCTGGATAAAGTCCCCTTACTCTGTATTCCTTTATCATCTTAAGTATATAGATGAACATTTTAAACTGTGATAATATTACAGTGTATTAATATTTATGTTTTATTTACTCTCACTAGATAATGAACTTTGGGATAGAAATCATGTCTGAAGTATTTTTTTGTCCATAATGCCTAATATGCTTTTATTGAATTACCATCTGACCAAATGACTAAATGACTGATTTTATTGCTAGTGTCAACTTTTCTAGACACTATAAACTTAAGAGCACTGTATATAATTTTTCTTTTCATTTTGAGGGGCCAATATGTTTGATCAATATTCGTAAGACTAAAAGACATAGACAATCTTTCTTCTTTCTGTTGTCACATAGCACTGTGGCCAAACTGTTCCCAGCCATAATTTATCATATTTAAAAAGGTATAATGACACGTACATTTTAACATGTGTTAAATAGATTGTACATCTTTATTCTTTAAATATTTGCATAGAATTTTGAGTTTTAGGTGAATGTTAACCTTTTAAACCCATTCTGTTCTGAAAGTATAAATTTAACGTTTTGTCATCAGGCATCGTGGTAATTCATGTTGTGATTTTTATTTGTATTGCTAATATTATGTCTGTTCAGTAAGGTTTTAATTAAAATATTTAATTAAAGTATTTTTTCAAGGATATAATATAGTCCTAAAGTTTAACTAGTTGCGAGGGTAATCAAAGTGAAAATAGAAATACAGATAGACTTATTTTTTGCCAGTCTCAGCACTATTTTAATTTTCCAAAGTATAAATTTTCATCTTTGAAGGATTTTTGGTTTGTTTGAACCTAATAGCCTATTTTAAAAAAGGCAGGCTTTTGCTGCCCTGGCTGGAGTTCAGTGGCTCAATCATAGCTCACTGTAGCCTGAAACTCCTGGGCTTAAGCTATCCTCCTGCCTCAGCCTCCCGAGTACCTAAGACTACAGGTGTGCACCACCACACCCAGCTACTTTTTAAATTTTTTGTAGAGATGGGGTCTTGCTGTTGCCTGGGATGAAAAGGCAGGCTCTTAACGTAAAAGCTAACATCCTTAGTAGCTTTAAGAGCAATATTTCAAAATGCATAATAGATGTGTATTTAGAAGTTTGTTTTTTAAAAAAACTGAAATATTGACAAGAGTGAAGAAAACATAAGATGCCACTTATGTAATAGAAAATAAGGGGTCACTGTCCTTCAAAAGTTGTATTAGGGAATTTTTACTTTGGCCCATATGGAATGTGAAAAGGTTTCATGATGTTTCTAGGAATTGCTGACTTAGTTGATTTTTATTGGTAGTGTGGTCTTTGACTTTCAGAGTAGGCTCTGTTGCTCTCTATTCCTGTGGCGGCTGCTGCTGCTTTTTCTTTATGACAGGGATCACACGTTACTGTAACTACCACCTCTCCAATGCCTGTTTTCTTGCCAGCTCTGAGGTTTATGAGGGCTTAGAATTGTGGATGTTTATTTGCTACTGTATAATGAGTGCTTAATATTTATAGAATAAATGATGTAAAGAAGCAGAAAGAAAGTTTTTTTCCCTAAAAGTAGTTGTTTGGTTCATGGTGATGCTGAAAGCACTATAAATCTTGAAATGCATTAATAAGTAATTAAAGAACAATTGATTTAGTTTTAATATTAAGATTATTTTAGTCCAATTAATTGTATATTTAGTAACTAGAATTATCTAAAATATTTATTTAAAATGCTACATTGTTCATTTTTTTCTGGACAATCATTGACTACATGCTGTTTAGGAAATTATTTTGTACTTTGATATTTGATGCTTGTATGAATTATTTAATTTATAATTATGAATTGTTTAAACAAAATATTAAAATTATAGTCAAAATATCTCTCAGATTCCTTAGGAAGTAAATTCATATTTTTTTTCAGCTACCACTGGAAAAAGCAAAAATTCATATTTTTCAAAGTTGATAATACAGGTAAAATTTCTGCATGGATAGAGGTACCTTGACCTTACATACTAACTCATCTCCATAAATTCATAGTCTGCTATGGATCTCTTTGGCGTTCATACTAGCCTCACCACTGGCAGATTGGGAATGGGGCCTACAAGTGCTGCTTGTTGTGATTTTTTTACATTTTTGCTTATTTTTACACTAAATCAAGTGTCAATTGTTTACATTTATTCCCCATGGTGGGTACAGGTTGGTTGAAACATTTAGAAATGACTAAGGCTCCTGGTTACCAAAGGAAATTAATGTGGAAAGTAAATTCATTTTACTCACAGTAAAAGTCACAGTCCTCACTATGGCCTCTAAGGCCTTACATGGTCTGGCCTCTGACTTGTCTGTGAACTCTTGTCCTCATACTCTGTCCCTTTCTTACCTAGTTTTATCACAGTGGTCTCCTTGCTGATACTTGGACCTTTCTGCATGTCCCTGCTTTTCTGTCTTTGAACCAGCTGTTCTCTTGTGCTCCAGATATATGAATGACTAACTCCCTCCTTCAAGGCCTTGATTAGATTTATCTTCCGCATGAGGTCTCCCATGATCACCCTACATAAAACTGCCTCCACCTCCACTCCTGGACCTCTTTACCCTGCTCTACTCTATTCTTTTTTTCCATAATACTTAATCACCTTCTAACAGACTATGTAATTTATACTTGTTTATTAGTGTCTGTCTCTTGTCACTAAAATGTAAGCTTAATAAGGAAGAGTTTCTTTGTTTTTGTTTTATTGTGGTGGTCATTGCTTTAACAAATAGGTTTATCTCAAGTACTTAGAACTCTATTGTCTGGCATATGGAAGATGGCTAGTGATTATTTGTTTAATAAATTACCAATTTGGCTTTTGCAAGAATGAGTTTGTTCTTCCACAGCTTGTGATCCATAACTGGACTGCCTCATACCCTCACCTCTGTCCTTTTTCTTTGTTATATGGACCCTTTGAATACATCTGGAATTTTTTTTTTAAAGTCCAAGTCCAAGAGAGCCAGCCCTGGAGAGCTTAAAGAACACCCTTTACTGCCATCTAAGTTGGGATATTTGCTAATGACTGTACTTTGGCAGAAACCCTGACTGTGCCCCATAGAAGTGTCGCCTTATCCTGTGGTCTTAACATGGTGGCCTTGTTAAGCTGTGGCTTTCTCTCTGTATTCCCAAGGTAGTGCTCATTCCCAAATGTGTGGTGGTAATGGAATAGAAATGAGCTTTAGTGGTGGTCTGAATCGCCAAGTAAATAGAACCAGTATAATAGGTTTGTTCCTATATACCTGTTCCAGGTTTAAGAAGTTCTTAGGAATTACATGAATTAAGTTCTAGTTCTGACTGTGTAACTGTTGTATTTTGTGACCTTTGACAAATTATTTAATATATCTGGGTTTATGTTTCTTCCATTGTAAAGTTGAACTGGATTGTATTTTTTTTTGTCTCTATGGAGTTTAGCTATATTGTCAGAAATATTTTAAACTTTATAATTGCAAATTTAAAATGTTAGCACTTAAATTAGTAATCCTGTTTATTATATATCATTTATATTTGGTAAGGTGCTGCATATCTAAAAACAGTTGAGCTTAGGACCTAGCAAGAATTCTTTTCTTATTACTTTCATAAGATAAACAGATTTGTGATAACTCCTAGAATTCAATTAACTAGAAAATTAATTGATTCTGTAGACATGATAAATAACTCAGGGTTAGACTCCGTCTACTTCCTTTTTGCCCTTCCTTCTTTCTCTTATTTCTTCTTTGTCCCTTGGATTATCAATTGTACAATTTTACTTCATTTACTTAACAAAAGGATGACTCTTTAAAGGTATTTTTCATGAATTTTTCTTTCAAATCTATATTTTATTCATCATTGTACTCCCCTAGCATCTGGCAGATTGTCTTGTACTTAGTACATTCTCCCTAAATGTTGATTAAATGTATGAATTTGCTTTTATTTTCCCTAATACTAAATTAACAAAGAGTGATTTTTAAATTTTTATTATTTTAAGAAAGGTGACACTTGTGATGGTGGGACTTGATAATGCTGGTAAAACAGCAACGGCAAAGGGAATCCAAGGAGGTAAGCTGAAAATATTTATATGCTTTCTGAATTCTATTAAGTTATTCTGAATTATCTACTTACTCATGTTAAATTGCTTTATTACTTATTAATTGAGTACAGATAGTGTGCACTCCATTTTTCTTAGTATACTTGTGACTGATATGGTGAATAGGTTCTGGTTTAATGGTACCAGCATGTTATCATGTTTCAGTGAAGATAAATCACCAGTTGGGCATCTTAAGGGTATGAATTGGGAAAAAAACCTAACATGTATTTGTTGGCTGATGATTACAACAATATATTATGCATATCAGATAGTCAGGGGGTCAATTATTAACACTTTGCAAAACTCACTGTTGGAGAAAACATTTTTGTCACCCCAGATTCTACTATGTAACGTTAGATGCACATTACATGTTATTATTTGTAGAGTCCTCTAAAGCCTTATTGGTAGCCCTCATGCTATCTTCTAGGTTGTATCTTAACAGAGCAGCACTCACTGTCATCATCTAAACCAGAGGTCAACAAATTTTTTCTATAATGAGCCAGATAATAAATATTTTAGACATTGGGGCCACACAGTCTCTTTTTGAGCTGCACATCTGACACTGGAGTGTGAAAGCAGCCATAGAAAATATACAAACAATTTATAAATGAACTTGGCTGTGTTCCAATGAAAGTTTGTTTATGGACACTGAAATTCAAATTTTCAATCATTTAAAGATGTAAAAACTCATTTTTAGCTTGTGGGCCATACAAAAACAGGTGGCAAATCAGATTTGACCTGCATGACAGGTCAAATGATAATGATGATCGTGAGGTCATGACATCTTACCTAAACTTCTTCCTTTCTTCCTTTCCTTCAAAGCCTTACCAGGGGAGCAGGCAGCTAAGAATCTGCTAATCAGAATATCTAATTTGTTGTGTGTACTTGGAACATCGTCTTTCTGTCAGGTCCTTTCTCTTCTGTGTTCCACCTCCATATATCCATCAGTTCCTTTTTCTGAGTCTGGAAAAATGCTCAAGATATCCCATCATAAACCAAAAGTCAAAGCTGCCTTCAACTTTGAGCTCCCTTCTGTTCTATTTTTGTTCTTTGTCTTATATTTACTCTTCAGCCTACTCCAATGACTGCCGATTTCTTCCTTTGAATTTTTTTAAGATTCCAGTTATATAGAATTCTAATTTTGAAGTTTTCCTAAATTAAGCCTTCTCATGCCTTTTATATTTTTGTTTATGTTGTTCCCACTTACTAGAGAGAATATCTACTTATCTTTAAAGACATATTTTTGTCATATCGTCTTCTCTTTTATAAAGTCATTTTTAATCTCCAGCTGCTCCCAACCATTACCACCCTGATCAATAGAATTGACCATGTCTTCTTTTTTGGCCTACTCTTACCTATACTTACTTGTATCACTACTTAATTGTATTTTGTTTGTGTATTTTTCACTTCTTCAGACTGTAAATTCTCTAAGGATAATTTTGCTCATTTTGAAGTCCCAAATGTGTAGGCCATGCCCCTTTGGTGTAGTATGCAGCCTTCTTAAAACACCTCTCCTGTGGCTTCTACTTTTCTACTTATTTTGGGTTCTTTTACCTCTTGGCTTTGTTTTTCCCCCTTGGTATTTGCTAGTTTCTTTTGAGATATGGCTACTTCCTCTCTAACTGTATTGCCATTGCCTAAATCCAAACCCTCAGTGTCTTTCATCCATAATGTCACAATAGCTTCTTAATTTAAAAGTAGCATCCCTACCAGCAACTTCAGTTCTTTAAGTCAACTTCTCTTCATGGCGATCAAAGTGAATGTATTAGTTGGATATGGGTTCAACTATTTTAATGGAGACCTAAAATAATAGTGATTCAGCAAAATAGAAGTTTGTTTCTCTCTCATAACAGGCTTGGTGAGAATAGTCTAGAACTGGTATGACAACGCCATGCTGTTAGGAACTCAGTTCCTTCTGCTATTTGCTTTGCCATCCCTAGTGTCCTCCTTCACTTACATGTTCTAGGGTAATTTATTACAATGAGTGCATTTCATCTGGAATGAAGAGGCAAAGGGTAAGGGAGGCTATCCTTTTCTCCTTTAAGAGCATGAATTATAAGCTGCCACAACACTTTATTTCACATGCCATTGCCTAGAAACAATGGTGTTCTGGACTCAGACATACTGCCTCATACTGGCTTTTAGCAAAGAGCCAATGATGCATGTCTCTTCCTAATTCTGTGTCCAAGTACCTCACATTGCTAGTTTGAAATTGGCCATGATGGAAGTTTTTATACCATGGAAATTGACCCTACATATCAGAGTTCTCCCCTACCCCCAAGTCAGTTATTAAATATGTAACAGCACACCACTAGCTAGAACCTCATTTCATGGCCACCCCTAGTTGCCGCAGAAGCTGGGGATTATAGTCTATCCTAAACAGTCGTGTGCCTAGATTAAAAAATCTAGGATTCTCTGACTGTCAATAGGGAACTATTGATATTTCGGGTGTGAAAATTCTACTGTGTTTGGATTGGTCCCCAGCATTGTTGGATATTACCATGTCTTCATTACATTGTACTTATTTGCTTGTATATATTTCACCAGTAGACTAAGAGCTCTGTGAGATCAGAAAATGGATTTTCTTAATCTTTGTATTTCTAAAACCTTGCACAGTATTTAGCATATAACAGATGCTCAAAAATATTTATTGATTATGTATTTGCACTTTATCTTGGACTTTCTAGAGATTACATCTTACCATATATACTTCACTGAAATTCTTTCTTTTTTCTTTTTTCTTTTTGAGACAAGGTCTCACTCTGTTGTCTGGACTAGATTGTAATGGTATCATCATAGATCCCTATAACCTCAAATTCCTGGACTCAAGTGATCTGCCTGCCTTAGCCTCACTAGTAGGTGGGACTACAGGCATATGCCACCACACCCGGCTAATTTTTCTTTTTTTTATACAGATGGGGATCTCACTTTCTTGCTTAGGCTGGTCTGGAACTCCTGGGCTCAAGTGATCCTCCCACCTTACCTCCCAAAGTGCTAGGATTAGAGGTGTGAGCCACCATACTCAGCCCTTTACTAAAATTCTCAGGATTAGGGACTGTGTATCTTTGTGCCCTTGGTTCTTGCATGATGCCTCATCTATAATAGGCCCTCAATAAATGATTAGAAGGATGGATGGATAAATACATGGAAGGACAAAAGAAAGGATGGATGTGTGGACAGCTGCTTCCGCTATCTTAGCAGTTTGTTGTAGTGTTGGGCTCTATTAGAGAATCATCAGAAAAAGGATTATGGGGGAAGTTGTACTTGAACATTTAGTCATAAGTCTTGAAACAAAAATGCTATGTAGGAACCAGAGGAAAGAACAGAGACTGTTTTATGTATCAAAAGAAACAGGCTTTTGAAGTCCTAAAGACCTTCATTAGGGTACTGGCTCTGCCTACCATTTTTGAAAAAAATTCCTTAAACTGAATTTGTGTACTAGGAATATTGCTATAATTTTATCTGTGCTTACATTTCTCCCTCTGCCTAAAATATTGTTCTCCCATCTCTGTTATATTTATGTGTCTTTTAAGACTTCGCTCACAATTCACTTCTAATCTGAAGCGTTTCTAGACTGTAACTCACCTCTCCCTCTCTACCCTCTTCCTCTAGAATTCCCTCACGCTATCCTCTCCAGGCTCTTTTACAGAATGTACAAATTCTGTGTTATTCCCATTAATATTATGTCTCTCTGTGTTGCACTGTATGTTCTTTGAGGACAGCAACCGTATCTTATTCATCTTTGCATCGTGATGCCTTACAAAGTCTTTGTACCAAGTAGGCATTTAGTACCTGTTACCCTTTTTCCTACTCCAGCATAGCTAATTGGTTTTTGCTGATGATTTCCTGAGGCCTCCTGTCAGTTCATACTCAAAGACAGCTGCCTATTTTATCTGTGGAAACCAGTTCTGGCTAGGACTAGATCTGCATTTTTAAATGTATAGTGTAATCCTATTTCTGGAAAATCATTGGTTATTATATTAGGTCTAACTGCCTTTTTCTCTTTCTAAATAATGAATGTATTAGCAAAATGTGACTTGTAATGGCACTATTCACTTTCTTTGGAGCTGTGTAAATGGCACTAAGGTGCTTAGGGAAAGAGAATGGTGTATGGCAAGGCTGTTTCTCAGTCACACCTGAGCCTAGCAATTGCCTTTCAAGTTAATCTTTGTAATAGCAAAACGTTTTGCTAAATGTGGGAATAAGACCCTCTAAACCAGTGTTGTTCAATAGAACTTTCTGCATTGATGGAAATATTCTGTGTTGGCACTCTAGTAGGGTGGACCACTTGCCACGTGGTTTTTGGATACTTGAAATGTAGCTGATGTAACTGAGAAACTGAATTTTTAATTTTGTTTTAATTTATTTAAATTTAGAAGGCTTCATGTGGCTTGCAGCTACTGTTTTGACCATGCAGTTCTAAATAGTCTTGTGTGGTAATAGTTATCAGTAGAGTCCAGTGAAGAGAGAATGGAAAAGACAAACGTGATACTTAAACCACTGAGTCAGCAGGTTCCATTAATCTTTCATGAGTCTTTTCTTTTCTATTCCTTTCTTTTCATTTTCATACCTCTTTTTGAAGTGGCTATCACTCTCACTTCCAGTCATTCTGGAGACTTTTGCTAGATGAAACACTCCTTTAATCACCTTAATTATATCATTGGTCTGCCAACTACCTTCAGTGGCTCCCCATTCTGTATCTTCAAAACCTTCTTTATTATGACTTCAGTCTGCATTCGTAATCTTAAGGATTTGCTGCAGCCACATGTTCAGTTTGTGTGTATTCCTTGACTTTGCCATTTCCTTTACTTTGTTAGATCACTCTTCTGCCTGTTTAAGTCCTACCTACCTTTAAGGCCTAAGTTCCATCTATCCTATGAAATCTTTTATGACTCTCAGGGATCTTTTTAATCTCTTACTGTCATTACCACTCCCTAGGAGTTACATGCATCCTGTACCTTCTTTATGTTGGCATATGTGGAAGTCCAAAATAATTCAATTATAAATTTATTTGAACATCCAAAACATGATCCTATAGAAAGGATGAAATCTACTTTCTTATTTGCAAGCTGCTCTCAAAAGACTCTTTATTCCAAGTATAGCTTTAATTCATCTAATTAAAAAAGAATGATCTTACTCTGTAGTTTCTCTCACTCTTTGTTTCTTCTATTCTCTAAATGTTTATGGTTTTCTTTATAATTCCACAGAAGATGTGACAGTCCCTGGGGGAATGACTTTGGTGTTAAAGGCTTGGCATTTTTATTGTTTGTAACTTGGAGAGTAGTCATAAAAGAGTTCGTTCATTTATTTATTCAAGAGATACATATTAAATACCTATTATATGCTAGGTGCTGGTGTTATATCAGAAAAACAAAAAGAAATTCCAACCTACAAGGAGTGCAAATTCTAATTGGATATTTTATAGTATCTAGCTTCTTCCCAAACCAGTATGCTTGGATGTAATGTTTATTGCTTAAGCAAATAATAAGCATGCCACTCTGTGGTAAAGTATGACTAATAGCACTTTTTATGTCATTTAAGTTGTAAAGTTAAATTAATATTATTAATTTAAAGATTAAAGATTGTTTCTTTTGTACCATTTGAAACAGAGCACCCTGAAGATGTAGCTCCTACTGTTGGATTTTCCAAAATTGACCTTAGACAAGGAAAATTTGAAGTTACCATCTTTGACTTGGGAGGAGGAAAAAGAATTCGGGGAATCTGGAAGAATTACTATGCTGAGTCCTATGGAGTAATATTTGTTGTGGATTCCAGTGATGAAGAGAGAATGGAAGAGACAAAAGAGACAATGTCAGAAGTGCTAAGACATCCTAGGATATCAGGAAAACCTGTATTGGTGTAAGTAACGTTGGTGTCATTGTACACATTGGGGCACAAGCATTGGGCAAGGAAGAAATTTACCTGTTATAAAATACTGAATAAGATAAATTAGTCATGCACTGGTAGAATAAAATGTATGTAATTAACTGGGACTTGTTAATATAGTGAGGCCTTGTTATAATACTTTCCATAGGGATAAAAGTTAAGACTATATTATGAGTAAGCTTATACTTAGATCTGCTGGGTATTCCAGTATAAACTCTTTGTTTTATTTGATGATTTATTTTTCATTGACTTTTGCATTTTGGAATAGTCTATTAACAAGATTCTAGAATACTTTTCAATTTTTTCTTCTTTCAATATTAATAACTTATATTTTGCCTTTGTCCTTTTTCTTAAAGAGTATTCTTGTTTGAAATTTATTTAAGGAGTTTATTTTTTTAATACCACATTGATTTCACAATTTTCACTTCTACATTTTCATATTGAACCTATGATCTGTGGCATTATCAACCTAATCATATGCTTATATCATTTTGTTGAAGTGCCTTAACATTTTTTTAAAACTTAAGTGACAAAAACTTTTGTGTTACTGGCTCTCACAGTATTTATGCATAATAAACACCAGATGGTGCTATAACTGTGAGACATAGTAAAGTGAAAGGAGTTTAAATTGCTCTTTAACATGGAGTAAACCAAATGTTGGCCCTTGACAGCCTGTCCCTTTTCCCATGTTCTTGTGATTCATTATTAAGGATTGAAAAAAAAAAAAATCAGCCTATCATGTGGTTAGATGAAAACCTGTAAGTAGAGTTTCTCAGTGCTTCTCAGTAATAAGTGAACATTTATTTAATAGGAAGTTTAGAAGCTCTAATTATAAAAGTTGTAACTTTATTGCATCATTTATTGGTAAAGCTTATACTTTTTAATTTTTATACATTTAACTAACTAGAGAAGTTATTTGATCTATATAATCAATTTTCACCTTTATTAAATCTGAAGGAAAACTTTAAGAGACATATATGAAGAATGAACTTTGTGGAACCCCATAGGGTAAATTGGTCTCTACAGATGTTTAAGCAGAAAATCAGCTTTTGTCTAAAGTAAAAACTATTTCTAGACTAAAGAAAAAAATGTTAATGACTTTTGGTCATTTGTAAAAGTAATAGTGTGTGCTTTGTTTTTAACCAAATAGTCATTCATTTAATTATTTTTGTTTACTCTTTCATGCATTTACTCATTCATACATTCATTAATTTAACGCATATTTATTGAGCCTACCTCATCTACTATGTGCCAGGCCTTGTTCTGGTGATGGGGATGCACTTGGAAACAAAAAAATCAAAAATATATGTATGACTTCAGGAGTTTACGTTCTAGGGGCTGAGATACACGATAAATATAATTAATAAATTACTTCCTATATTAGGTGGTAAGTGTACTGAAACCAATGAAGCAAATAAAAGAATATCAGGAAGCCTTTGGTGGTGGTGGTGACCACAAGGGCATGTTGCTCTTATAAATTAGGATACTCAGAGAAGGTCTTATTGAGAAGCTGACATTTGAGGTGAGGGAGTCAGTCATGCAGCTGTGTATAGAAAAGCCCTGAGGTAGGCTCATGTGATTGTTAAGTGACTACAGTGATTACTGAGTAATGAAATCACTCTGTCAGCAAAATAACTGCTTTCAGTTCTGTCACCTCTCTCAGCTAGTGAATTTCCTGAATAGAAAAACAATTACACAACTAGGGTGATTGTTTCACCATTGTAATCTCATTGTCAGTGAGAACGCACAAAGATATGAGAATTAATTACGGATGGTATGATATGTTTATGAAAAATAGAGTGGTTTGCCTGCCATTTGACCAGCTTTTCTCAAGGAAGTTTTACAACCATAGAATTTTTATTAAAAAGGTGAATTGCTTTTTGAAATGAAAGTGCTTCAAAAATTTAAAAAATGTACACAAATGTATACATTCTTAGTATATTTCAAAGATATAGTGAAATAATTTTTTTGTGTATTTTGTATTGATATATAATAGTTATACATTTTTGGAAAAGCATGTTTATAAAAAATGATTGGCTTATCATCCAGAGCCAGCCACTGCTAACATTTTGATGAATTTCCTATGCATATTTTTATGACATGTAATATATACAGTATTCATATAATACATAAAATTTTGTATCCCACCTTTTTTTTAATTTAAAAGTTTAAATTTAATAAATACAATTTAATTAATTTAAATAAAATTAATTTAAGTAAAATTTAATTTATTTTGAATTAAACAGTCTTGCTCTGTTGCCCAGGCATGATCATACTTCACTGTAGCCTTGAACTCCTGGACTCAAGTGATCTTCCCGCCCCAGCCTCCCAAGTAGCTGGGACTACAGGTGTGTGCCACCAAGCCTGGCTAATTTTTTTATTTTTTAGAGAAACAGAATCTCTTTATGTTGTCCAGGCTGGTCTCAAACTCCTGGCCTCAAGTGATCCTCCCGCCTCGGCCTCCCAAAGCACTGAGATTACAAGCATGAGCCAGTGCGCCCTACCCTTTCTTATGTGTTTGTAAACACCTCTTGAGTGTTTGCCCATGTTTGAAAGTTGTCTGTTTACTTTTTTCTCCCTGACCAATAAGAGAATTAACTTCTCTTATTGATACTACTGTCTTAATATCTTATGAATCTCTTTACTACTCTTTATCAACCCCTCGTCAGTTCTCCACTGTATGACTGATAGCAATGGTCTCCTAACTAGTCTCTTGTTATGAGTCTTGACTGTCCTTCAAGCTCTTCTCTACATTGGCAGTGGGAACTTTATTCTATATTTGATGTTTTCAAATTACAAAACCAGTACATGCTTGTTATAACAAGTGAAGCAATGCAAGAATATGTAAAAAACATGAGAGTATTTCTAAAAATGTAAATTTGATAATTTTACTATTTCTTTGCTTAAAGTCCTTGAGGCTCCCTTGATAGCTCCATGTAGATAGGAAATTCTGTCTGTTTTTTTTTTTTTTCTTACAACTATAACCCCAGCAACTAGACCTGCCTAGCACATAATAGGTCTGGCATTGACAAATCCATGAGATAATAAGTGGGGAGAGTGTTTCAGAGAATCATGCTAAGCTCAGTGCTAGGGGCAAGAGAGCTATGAAGTAAGAGGAGGATCCCTATATTAAGAGGCAGTGCTCTTTGTTGCATGCAGCTGCATCCTTGCCCACAGACATCTGGACCACTCATCTGCTAAATACATTTACAGCATCTAATTTCTTCTCTTCTCCCCTTATCTGAGCCTAAAATAGTTGATGTAGGACCCACAAAGCCTCTCAGAACTCATTTTAATACCTAGATAACTTTCTCCTCCCATACTCAAGTAATGAGCAAACAGAAAACAACTGACCTCTGAAAAGATTGAGACTTTCGGTAGAAGGAAATAAACCTAAAGAATTAGAATTTTGCCTATAATCACAAAATTATAAATCGATAGAGCCAGAATTCATTGTTATTTGTGGGAAGCAGAATAGATGACCACAGTGGCAGGTCCCGGACAATCTTTAGTTTTTGCCTAGTTGTTCCTGCACAGCAGACTGACAACATGTGTGATTGTAAATGATGCCTTGGCCAAATTTCACTTGATGTCACAGACTTGAGGTTTTTCTTGAAAAGTCAGAATCAGAATTTTACTAGTTTTCTTTGTTTTATTATCTCAGAAATTCTCTTTGCAATTATGTAGCATTTATTAATCAGCATAATATTTTAATTAAAATCTTCTGAAATAAATGGTGAAAAGTTAAAAATCTATTAGTTTAGAGAGAAGCTAGAGTCTGGAACCTGGATTATAAGAGCTAATGTGAATTTGTTTATTACCCGGACAGATCACTTTACTTCTTTGGACTTAGTGGTTGAATGCCTCTTCTATAATAAAAGTAGTTGGAAAATATTGTAATTCTTTGTTTGTATTCTGCTGTATATAGTGACATGAACCAGAACCAATTTAAATAAAAAGGTAAAAACGATTTGCATTCCTTCTAACAAGGATAAAAATAAATGCCATACAAACATTCTGCTTTGCAATCATGTTAACCTATTTACCTAGAAAGTCCTTTTTTTCTTATAATGACTATAGAAATTACTTTAGCCTATACTCTGAATTAACCAAGGTATGAATTATTTTATCTACCCTCACCTGCCCTCTACCCACACACTCTTGTTTTAACTATTTATAATTAATTAAAAAGATCCCAAAACTTCAAGCTAATCTTGACAAAGAAGGCCTTTTCAAGAGAAAAAGTAAAAAATTTTTGTAGTTGTATAAATAGCACTAAAATCAGCAGTGATCTCAAATTTTAAGCTCAACATCTACCATAGAAATTTTCCGTTAATAATACAAAGAACTATTTATTGATTACCTATGAAATAAACTAAGCTGAGAGGTATTTTAAATATCTTAACCTATTGAGATTTTCAGCAGCCCAAGGTTATGCTGGTGTAAGAAGGCACATGCTCTTTCTATACCTCCTCTCTCTATTACCTGTATAGTCTTGAAAGTTGGCCTCAGAGAGATAATAAATTACTCCTCCTTTTTGTAGTTGAATCTCTTAATACCTTTAACCAGAAGGACCCTGGAGACCGATAGGCTAAAATTTTCTTCCAGGGTAGTAACAGTTCCACTTGTGTTGCATACTTGAGCTACTGGAATGGTGCCACTTCCTTATTACATACTATCTGCTTTTCTGTGGAGTTATATGATCTAACTTAACTTTTGGCCAAACTTCACAAACTGATGCTCATAACAAAAGTGATACATGTATGGAGCTTCATTCAGGGAAGAAAATATTAATGTGATATCTGTGATTTGATCTTACCAGGTGTTATGAACATTCCAGTAAAAAAAAGTGTTTCTTGACCCGGGGTCTTTGTAGGACCCATGTACACAATTCCGAGTGCATGCACATTTTATTGGGAGCATATTCTAACACTCATCAAATTCCACAAGGAGTTTATGACCACAAAGGTTAAAAACTCTGTCGGTGAGTTTCCATATTAGGAGAAACAATTACCAAGCTTTTGTTATTTTTCAACATGGAATTTTTTTTTTGTTTCCCACCTTAATGTGCTTACTTGACTCTCCTTCTAGACAATGTTACAGGAAAATGTTAGTTTGCAAGTTTCTTTTGCGTCATATTCTTTATTATAAGTGCATAGGAGAAGTTAACTAGGCTATGGATTATCCTAATACTATTATCAGAAATTGAGTCAAATGTACTTTTTTTAAGTTAGACCTTTAAATAATAAATAGGAGAATGATAAAGATATGTGAATGGATCCATGAATTGAAGAAAAATTGAAGAACCCTTCACCTTCTTATGCCTTGAGCTAGATTCAGCACCCAGTTACCAATTAGATTCTTTAAGTACCTAGTTGAGTTTTCCCAGGATCTGTTGACCACAGAGTTAACTTACCTCCCTGAGGATAAAAGATATGATACACGTTCTAGTTTTATTTTGCTTTATTGTAGTACCCTTTGAGATCTTATTTTATATTATTCTTAACTACCAAAATATTCTCCAGTGAGTCATATGGATTGCTTAAGTAGTTATCACTTAATTGAACATTCATGTTGTTAAAGCGTAGAAAGTTAGAAAAATGCTTAATAGAGCTTAATACCTGACCAGAAACTTAAGATCATTCATCTCATTTTCAGTGGTTAACCTGTGAGTTGATGGTAACTGTACTATTTTCAGTTTAATTAAATAAAGACTTGTTTTATGTAACTGGCTTCAGAAATTTCTGTAATTCTAGTGGGTTAGAGTTAAAGGGAAAAATTACAAAGTAATAGTGCTGAAAGATATATGAATGGATGCATGAATTGAAGAAAGATAAAACAAGACACTGAAATATGGGGTATCCTTCACCCTAAAGATGGAAGAAATTCTAAAATAGCTTCTTTATTTTGAGCCACAGCATGGACAGCAGCAACAACACAATACCCTGCAAGGATTTCTTTTCTTATATTTTACAGCCAGTCCAAATTTTTCTTTAGTATTGTTAACATATTCTTTTGTACTATTCACTATCATTTCAATATTGTTGATGCTTTCTCCTTGTTCCTCTACTAAAAGAGATATCTGAATGAAAAGATCCCTTAAATCCTTTATTTGGTTCTCCAAATTAATAAGTTCCTTGTGTCTCTGTTCAATCTCTGAAAGTTGTGCTTTAGTGATACTGATTTCTGTAAGTAAGCTTTCATTAAAGACTTCCCATTTTCCTTGATGAAGCATATCATTTACTTCTTCTTCAGGTACCTCTTTTCCAGCAACTTCAAGCTGACGGAAGATAAATGTCTTGCACTTCTCTTGCTTTGCTGCTATCGTGTCATTGTATATAAACATGATTTGCTGAAAATGACGGAACATTGCAGCATGCTGAGATTTAAGTATCCTTGTGACCACTGATGATGGACCATTTTCAACCTCTGACTTTTTAACTTCTTTAACTAAATCATCCAAACTTCTGTTAATGTGTTCTGCTTTGATTTTTATCTCCTTTGTAATGCTAGACTCTTTCTTAAGTAGACTAAACCTTCTCATTGAAGCCACCAGATTTTTTTGTTGTTGCCCAAATTTTTGAACATTATCTGCCAAATTGTTAATGCTCTCCTGTAGTTTCTGGATTTCATGTAGATATCTCTCAGCTACAGGCTCTCTTTCATAAATAACAGCTTGCTGCAGAAACACCCCTTGTTCTTCTGCTTCTGTAGTTGACATGTGACTTTCTCTAGAAAGTTCTATTTCCTTTGTTCTCTGCTTTAGTTCTTGAAGTCGGTCTTTCATCTTCCCTTTCCTCCTAAGAAGCAAAAATGATAAAATGATTGTATTTGAATAGAGAGAAACTTGGTATTTTTCCACGGTAGCAGTTGATTTCATATAGCTGTCTATCTCCCAGCAAAAATTCTCCTAGTTTTCTAAAAAGAGGTTAAAAAAATTAGAAAAATCAATAAGAATTTCCTCATAAAAATCATTGAAATAGGAAAAGTAATGTAAAATAATTTATAAATTACTTTGCATAATGTGGGGCTGCTATGAGTGCCATTTACTTGAGGACAGTTGCTGAGAAAGCAGTAATAGAGATACAGTTGTCCAAAATAAGTTCTTTATTGTCATGATGCTATCTGTCACATGATAGAATTTTTTTTTTTTTTTTGATAAAGGGTGCTATCAACCATACCTTCAACTTTTAGGATTAATCTTTAGACTCCAAAGTGTTCTTACTACGAAAGATACTGTCTCCACTGTCTGTAATGTTAAAATTATACTCATTTTGCTAAATATACGTAATTCAGTGAAAACCATTGTAATGACAGGACAGATTCCATAATGAGAACTTTAAGTGAAAGAGATAATATTGAACTTAAGTTTTCTGAGGCCTTTGGATTGATTAGCATATTATTTGGCATAGCTTTGTTTTCTTATTCATTGCATGTATATGAAAACATATTCTTGGTTTGATTATGCTGATTTCTCATTCTTAGCATTCTTTTGCAAAGATATCCAGGCTGTTTCAGAACAAAATTTATATCAATTTGTGTTAAG